CATGAACTATTCTTGGTTTAATAATATCAGACGATTAAAAAAAAAACAAGTAACTAATAGATAAGATTTGACCACATAGGATAGTTTTTGTTAGATTTTAAATTATAGTTTTTTTCTTGGTTATTTGGCCCAATTTTCCTATTTTTTAAACTCAAACATATTCATTACAAAAAAAAAAATTGTTTTCTTCTTTTCTCAAAAACATCTTGCATGAATGCTTTACAAACAAATTATTATTTCATCTTGAATCCAATATGAACAACATCAATATTGAGAGATCTTTTTTTTTTTTAATTACAATATTGAGAGATCTTTTTATACAAGTGATTTGTTTGAAAGACAAAACTAAGAGAGAAAACAACCAAAATATTTAATTTTGTTTTCTTCTTTTTACCCAAAACATCTTGCTTGAGAGCTTTCTCTAGGGTCGGGGATTGTTGATATCATCACGACAAGATGGATATGAATGCTTAAGCCTCAGCCACGAGAGAACACAATCCCTATGAAAATTATGTGAACAAGGCAACTTCATGATGACTACATAGAATCTTTTAGATCGCATTCACATTCTGAAATAAATTAGTTTCATAAAAGAACACGGCATGGATTATTGGATCGGGTTATCGAGTTTAAAATGGAGCTAATTCGTTTTACCATGTAAGCATGATATGTGAAATATGAAAGAGATATTCATGATTGGAACGAAAATTAACTTATCGTACACTCTTGCTTTCATTGATAAATCGTCATCACCAAAACCCATTGTAACATCATGAAATTTTGTTCATAATTTTCAAGTAAATGATAGTTCATATTTAATATGTGTTGTCTTATGTCTGCATCCGCATTTAATGATTTTTACGATTGAGATAATTGTCAACACTAAAGCTTTTTGGGACATAGCATGATGAGACTTTAATTTGTAAAAAGTTTAATCGTGGGATGATCACCAATGCTATTTTCTCTTGTCGTGAGATTCATAATTTATTTTGGTTACCGTGTCATTTAGCGATTTGTTGCTTTTTATATAAAAGATAATATTTATGTTATATATCGCTTCATAACATATATATATATTTATATAAATTTTATGCTTAAAAACAAAAATGATTATATTTATATTCAATAATTCGTATGATTAACAGTTTAAAATTAAAATTAATAGTTAGGGACTTCAGTGTCCACATCATTACTAAAATAACATTTTAATTACAATTAATAACCTAATTAACTCACACACAAAAATTAAGTACATTTTAATTAATTAGATCTTTCACTAAATGAAAACAATAGTTAACAAAACAAATTACATTCAATCCATAATTCAATATGTTATATATTTATATGTCAGGAAAGAGAAAGTGAAAACAAATTAGATACCAAGATGTGAAGGAGTGAATCTTAGAAAATGACAAAAAATGACTGAAAAATCGTTTAAAGATAGTTTCACTAAAGCTTAGATCGAGAGATATATGCACAAAACTAAAGTAAAATATATTTGATATGGAATGAAAGATTGGGTCAATGGTCAACATCAAAACCTCTACATAGATGTTCTCATAAAAACGCAATAGAGAAAAACACTTTTTGGTATAAAGGATCGTGGGATGATTGTCATTTGTCAATGTTATTTTACAGTGTGACGAGTTTGAAGGTCGGGCTTAGGCACTTACAGAGAAAGATAGAGAAGTAGCAGAGTTAACCGTAACGTTAAATAAATTTCTTGTTGAAGAAGTGGAGCCTAGCCCTTGTAGCTCACTTGGTAAACGAAGGCATTAAAATCTGCAACGTTTGTCAGGTTCGACCATCAGGC